CTTTCTTGAAAACATCCACTTTTATAAGAAATTATTGAATTATATAATGATCTTGCTACTGGCCAATACGACATCGTCTCCTGTTGGTTACCCAGCCACGTTGGCATTTCTGGGAATACAATGGCCGATCCTGCTGCTAAGGCAGCACCCAACAAATCTGTGACACCACTTCTTATTCCATACTCTGATTACAAAGCTGTCATCAGATCTTATATCCGTGATCTATGCAGGAGAAGTGGGACACCCAAGTAGGTATCAATAAATTACATGAAATAAAACCCTATATTGGTTACACCTACTTGGGTTGTCAGTCCAGATTTGAAGAGGTCATCATACGACGATGTCGTATTGGCCACACAAGATATACTCATGTGTACTCACTGAAAGGTGAGGATCCTACGTTTTGTATCTCTTGTGATGAAAGAATCACGGTCAAGCATGTCCTGCTTGACCGTGTTGAATATTCCATCAGAAGGGATATCTATTTCAAATCACGAACTATGAACGATCTTTTTAATAATGTCAGTTCTCATTTAATTATTGCATTTTTAAAAGAATTAGATTTGTTAAATGATCTGTAAATAGATAAATGGTATTGTAAACATGGTAGAATAAATTTGCAACTGCGATTGTTAGTGGCTGTATCCTCGAAGGGGGTTAAAGTATCGTACAATTATTGTCCCCCTCAGAGGTTACGTAAGTCCCAAAACTTTCAAAGTTAAATTTTTGCTTACCCGATTTTAAAACGTAGTATATTTGTTCCTTTAAAATTCGGCTAAACTTTTCCTACTACCGCCAGAGGCTGAAGGGATGGTGTAAATCCAACTAGTGTCCATGCAGGTAGGTACTGTAAGTCCCCATGGACCCTAGTATGGTGATTTACCTTCAGTTGCTGGCGATCAATAGCCTGTTTTTTATATTGTATCGTCCTCTATAGTTAAAGTATTTTAGATTTAATTACTAGTTTTAAGTATATATCTGTGATAGTCTAGTTGGTTTTACTGCCCTTTGTCGACAGCTATTTAAATTGATTACCTTGTTTTCATCGCTATATGGCTGTAATATTGCCGATGCAATGTTCAATTTTAACTCTTTTAACTTTAATGGATGAATAAAAACATAAAGATTTCTTTTCTGGTAATTCAGAATGCCAGTTTTGATTCGCACAGTCGATGACTCTTTGAGTAAACAGTTTTATTAAATTATCTACATTTCCAACACTTTGATACAGCCAAACATGGCCAAACCCGAACGTAAATAACAATTTCTCTATGTGGGTTACCCCATTAGGGCGTTTACGATTACAACTTTTATATATATATATAAGTTACATTCATCGATAAAAGCACACATTTGCCAGAAACGGTCAAGACATAAAGGAATTACACATGGTACATAATTCACGAGATATCTCGTGAATTATGTACCTTGTGTAATTCCTTTATGTCTTGACCGTGAATTATGTACCTTGTGTAATTCCTTTATGTCTTGACCGTTTCTGGCATATATGTGCTTTTATCAATGAATGTAACTTGCTATAAAACGAGATTGTATATATTCTTTATAAGACTACATATGTATCGTGAATCTGTGGCTGACTTATAAACTCAAGTTTACTAACTCAGGTCTTGTGTTCCCAAGCGAGCTTTCCCCCCACCCAACAAGGGTGTATTGAAGAATATTAACATCTTCTATTGGTGTGTACTGTACTTGCCTTCGAAATTCTATTTAAAACCTCCTTTACGTTAATTTACGTTTACAAACTCGTCCACGCAATGGAAACCCCCCTGTAAAATGTTAAAACGTTTTAGGATTCGCATGGCGTGTATGGGGTTTTATGAAACTAGTTCGGATAGTAAGTTTATCAGATTGCTTTATTGCACCGATAACACCCTCCATTAGATGATAAATATTGTAATATAATCAAACCAAGTGTAATTTATTTATCATAGTCATTCGTAAAAGTAGTCCAAGCAGTCCGGAATAGTATCTGGTTAGAAATGCACCCATGATGATGTGTTTTTGTTTATTATGTCGCAATCAATTAACTTTTGGTTATTATGGGTCACAAAAGTTTAAAGCGCTGAATGTGGATTTGATCTCACACCTTGAACTTAGGCTATGTGATTTCACCTGTTAAGAGTAAGTTATATATACTATCCAAAAGAAGAAACGCATAGGCGTTTTGTATCTTTAAAAATCTATTAATTAGCATTTGTGTTAAAGTGTTGATAACATGATTTTACACAATTGCACAAGTAAAAATTGTGCAGCAAAGAGCGTGCATTGTCTGGCTATAAAAATCCAGATTACTTTCGGAAATAGTCATTCGTTTTGAAGGCGTTTCAAGGTCAAATCACTACGCCACGGGACACGGAACATCGCCATTGAAAGAATGCACGCTAGAGATTACCAATCTTCTGTTGTCAGGGGTGTGGATGTTAGTCTGAGCCCGATATCACGGCTTGCAGTTCGTTACAACGAAACAGGCATCACAAATGACCGTCCTCGTACAGGCAGACCTCGAGTCACCATTGTAGCTCAAGATCGGTACATCCGGGTACTACATTTGCGTGATCGTACTGCCACGGGTGAGAGCACAGCAGCCAGGGTGCCTGGACATCGGAGGATATCCGGTTAAACTGTACGGAACAGGTTGAGAGATAATGGACTGAGAGCCAGGAGACCCGACGTCGGGACCGTGCTACGTCGTCGCCATCGCGCACAACGTCTCCCTTATCTAAAATTATCCACTTGGTTGTATACACATTTCCTTCTTCTAAACTGATGTAAAATTTCATGTGCTAAAGTCTAATTGTGGACGTGTTATACATGTTTGAAAATACAACATTTTCGCAACAGATATCTGGGTTATGCGTTTCCTATTTTCAATAGTATATACTGAAACTGTATGCTCTCAAATCAAATGACAATCGGTTGGAACACTTGTGGTATCTGTAGAACGAAAATTATGTCATACTTCAAAATGAACTGGTAAATAACATTTTTCTTGCTATCATATGAGGCTTCAGATTATTGAATGAGATATATGTTGCGCGATGGATCATAGAACATGATATTGACATAAATGATGCTTTAATGACACATGTAATGAAGGGAAATATATGATTACTACATTAATGAAAGTACTGTCGGAAATAGAAAACAACTGTCTTTAGGCTCTCACTCTGTATCCCTAAATTTTACACAATTGCAAATAGCATATGTCGAAATAACCCACATTGGCCTAACTGGGCGTTCAGTAGGATGCGTAATATACTAGCCACATAAAGAAACTGTGCATTGTCAAAATATTATCCTAGCTGATAAGTACGATAACAATGTCAAGGGTACAAATAAACTTTAATGGAGGGATCATGAGACTATAACAAGTCGGGAGAATTTCAACTGAAAAGTCAATCACAATGACGTCACGAGTCCACAAGCGGGACAGGGGTCAAACGACCATGTCACAAGCTCAATAACGGGTATCGACGACGCATAGAGCCTATCAAACGTACAAGGAAGGCTTGTGGGATGTCACGCCAGATTCTCTCAAGTTCTGTTGCAAGGTCAAGGACGTTATCTGGCGGATGAGAAAGACGGCGTAGACGTCGATCCATCTTGTCCCAAACATGCTCTATCGGGGAGAGATCTGATGAATTTGCAGGCCAAGGCAGTAAGTCAACGTTTTGGTGTTGCAAGAAATCCATAGCAACCCTTGCCGTATGAGGGCGGGCATTGTCCTGTTGGAATGTTAACCCAGGGCCATGACGTTGCAGAAAATGAATTGCCACAGGTCGAAGAATCTGATCCCAGTAGCCAACACCAGTTAAGTTGCCCTGAACAATCACCAAAGGAGTTCTTTGGCGTGCTGTTATTGCACCCCAAATCATCACGGAACCACCACCACCAAAGCGATTCCTCTCCAAGACACAGGCCTGTGCATAACGTTCTCCCACGCGTCTATAGGCACGTTGACGTCCATCACTATGGGAAATGTTAAACCTGGACTCATCTGTAAAAACAACATTTCTCCACTAAAACAAGGGTCTGCGGACATGATTTCGGCACCACATTCGGCGAGCTTGTCGATGACGTTGTGTCAGGATAGGCCGTATGGCGGGACGTCGTGGTCTGATCCCGTAATGACGTAAACGTTGTCGAACTGTGTTGGGATGGATACGGCGAAGTCCTGGGATGGTTCGGGCAGTCATCACTGCAGTCTTAAATCTGTGGCGAAGATGGGTCACCCTTATCCATATGTCCTGTCTTGGCGTTGTTACACGTGGACGTCTAGCACGTGGCCGATCGATGACGTCATTTGTGTTCTGGTAGCGTCTCACCAGTGCAGAAATGGTGTTCCGGTGGCAATGGAAATGTGCATCCACTTGTCGTTGAGACATTACCCCACGGACCATCCCAATGGCCTCATGACGTTGTGCAAACGTGAGCCTTGGCATGCTATGCGTTTCAATAGCCGTTTAATTTTTGGAACGATCGCAAGGGCAGGGGTTGAGCTTTCCAATGTGACAGTATTGTGTGACATTCATTTGCTCTGTTTCTCTTTCCCGGAATGCACGTGCAACAACGTATTGCACGCCTCAAGGACGAACCCACTGCCGTCACGGAACGTGGCACGTGCATGCATGTTGGATACATGTCACTAATCTCTGAGTTTAAATCCTTATGTGTCTACACAGGTTTGATAAATTTAGATTTAAATTTTTGCATGCACAGTTTCTTTATGTGCGTAGTATATATCAGAACGTTCCTCATCTAAGATGAGTAGAATAGGTTTTGTTTCTAATTTGTCATCGAATGATTTCAGATTTACCTTACTCTAAAAAGACCTCCTGAATACCCCAAATTGTTAAATGAATGTTATATTTTTTATCGTTTCCACTGTATCTACTAATTTGTATATTCTCAACCAGTGTATTTATGTAAACTTGTATATGGGCCGATGGCCTTTGATACAAAACACCTTTGACTTTGACTTTGATTTTTATGTTTTCATTATTCATTAACAGTAGGGTTTTTTCATGAAACAAAAAACGTGTTTACGTTCTTCAACCAATCAAAGTTACTGTATATTTTGGAAAACGTGTTACAATGGAACTATCTTGAGAAGAACAATTCCCTCTGGATTAGCCGATATACTCAATTTATCTGCAAGCTTATATGTTCCAATCTGGATGTCGTCAAATACGTCAGTGATGTTATAACCATTTTGATTGGTCAGTTCGATCTGCGACAAGGTCAAGGTCACAAGCGAGGGAGTACCTCCAAACTCCGGATTGAAAAACGCAACCGCATAACTTCCAGGTAATGACAATGGCTTGGTCCAAACTTGAATATTCGCAATCTGGAGAGAAAAAAGTATTTGACTCAGATAAATCAATTTATTTGAGGCGTCACTTTATTTTGTTATTCATAAATTCCTAGTTTTCACAGAAAAAATAACGTCAATTCTCAATGGTTATGTGTTGTCATGTACATGATTATACATTTGACGTTGTTTAACTGTGATTCCAGCAATCAACTCTGAACCAGACTATCCAGATCTTGAGCTCCATGAAAGGTTTGCAAAGGTCCAAACTTCCAGGGTAGCACGCGCAGTCAGCCAAGTCACTGAGCCTTACAACCCTATCGTTCTAGTCACCACTTAGATTGACACGTCACCCACGACTTTAGATGGCTTTGACCTATACACTCTGCATGGGAATCGTATATAAAATACTGTAGACAATACATTCCAATACAGACAATACCAGTATACGTGCCTTTGTGTGGAAGCTCGCTTGTTGTCCCCGTGGGTCCTGGTTGATGGCGATGACACCCTTGTTTTGTAGAATGGCCTTGGCCTGTGGTCTCATGGTCCTCAGATCAGCGGAGATGTAGAGCGGGGCGGCAAACATCGCCCACATCCCGAACTGGACCTTCTCCTGGTCGTAGCTGAGACTGAAGTCTCCGATGATCAGCTGTAAGGCAAGACTATGTGATCTTCAATAAACTCTCTCTTTGTTCGGTTGAGTAACATCTTTGAAAGTGTAATTCCGGATGGGACTAAAAACAACAAAAGTACTAGAATCTGTACTTCACTGAGAAAGTGTAATCCCAAATATGACAAAAGTTACGTCATGATGTGATCGTATTAACCATATTCAGCTTGCAACTATCGCATTAGGGATGCACCTTTCTTCAGAAAGCTCACCTGGTCCGGATCATTGAAGCCACCAGGCCCGGCTACTCCAGAGAAGTTCCCCAGGTCTATCCCATAATAGAAAATGACGTCTCGTACACTCCGCCAGCTGTCTTGAATGTCGAAGAAGTTCCTCCAAGTGTTGCAGTATTTCTTGTTGGATTCGTACATGCGCTGGATGAAGCAATAAGTGAGTGAGTTTAGTTTTACGCCGCTTCTATTACAGCAATATCACGACGGGGACACCAGAAATGCGCTTCACACATTGTACCCATGTGGGGAATTGAACGCTTTAGCCACTGGGTTACCCTTCTGCCCCGATGAAGCAATACCAACAGGCATTATGTGAAAACCTGATATGATATTCACCTGTTAAAAAATTTACTCATTCCATGTCTAAGTAAGTGAGTGAATGTTATTTTACGCCGCATTGTTCCACGGAGCGTGGACATAATCAGAGTCTTCCTGTACATCTACATGTACACCTTTCACAACATCTAAATCGACATGTACATCTTGCTCTGCGTGTACATGTACAGCTTTTACTACATCTGCATCTGTACAAATAGGAAAACGTATCACAACACCCAAGGACCTTCACCTCAGTTGCTAAATGCTCATACACACGCTCGTCTTCCAGTACATTGGCATGAACATCTTTCACTACATCTACTTCTACACATTTCACAGCATCTACAGCTACAACTACATGTACATCAACATGTACAACTCCCACTACATCTACATGGACACATTTCACTACACCTGCATCCACATGTACAACTTCCACTACATCTACATGGACACATTTCACTACACCTGCATCCACATGTACAACTGCCACTACATGAACATGGACACATTTCACTACACCTGCATCCACATTTACAACTTCCACTACATCTACATGGACACATTTCACTACACCTGCATCCACATGTACAACTGCCACTACATGAACATGGACACATTTCACTACACCTGCATCCACATGTACAACTCCTACTACATCTAGATGGACACATTTCACTACACCTGCATCCACATGTACAACTTCCACTACATCTACATGGACACATTTCACTACACCTGCATCCACATGTACAACTTCCACTACATCTACATGGACACATTTCACTACACCTGCATCCACATGTACAACTGCCACTATATGAACATGGACACATTTCACTACACCTGCATCCACATGTACAACTTCCACTACATCTACATGGACACATTTCACTACACCTGCATCCACATGTACAACTGCCACTACATGAACATGGACACATTTCACTACACCTGCATCCACATGTACAACTTCCACTACATCAACATGGACACATTTCACTACACCTGCATCCACATGTACAACTGCCACTATATGAACATGGACACATTTCACTACACCTGCATCCACATGTACAACTCCTACTACATCTACATGGACACATTTCACTACACCTGCATCCACATTTACAACTCCTACTACATCTACATGGACACATTTCACTACACCTGCATCCACATGTACAACTGTCACTACATGAACATGGACACATTTCACTACACCTGCATCCACATGTACAACTCCCACTACATCTACATGGACACATTTCACTACACCTGCATCCACATGTACAACTCCTACTACATCAACATGGACACATTTCACTACACCTGCATCCACATGTACAACTCCCACTACATCAACATGGACACATTTCACTACACCTTGCATCCACATGTACAACTCCTACTACATCAACATGGACACATTTCACTACACCCTGCATCCACACATGTACAACTCCTACCACATCATGTACACTACTCCTGCATCCACATGTACATCCATTACATCTACATGGACACATTTCACTACACCTGCATCCACATGTACAACTCCTACTACATCTACATGGACACATTTCACTACACCTGCATCCACATGTACAACTCCTACTACATCAACATGGACACAATTTCTACTACACCTGCATCCACATGTACAACTGTCACTACATGAACATGGACACATTTCACTACACCTGCATCCACATGTACAACTCCTACTACATCAACATGGACACATTTCACTACACCTGCATCCACATGTACAACTGCCACTACATCTACATGGACACATTTCACTACACCTGCATCCACATGTACAACTCCCACTACATCTACATGGACACATTTCACTACACCTGCATCCACATGTACAACTCCCACTACATCTACATGGACACATTTCACTACACCTGCATCCACATGTACAACTCCCACTACATGAACATGGACACATTTCACTACACCTGCATCCACATGTACAACTGCCACTACATGAACATGGACACATTTCACTACACCTGCATCCACATGTACAACTCCCATTACATCTACATGGACACATTTCACTACACCTGCATCCACATGTACAACTCCTACTACATCTACATGGACACATTTCACTACACCTGCATCCACATGTACAACTCCTACTACATCAACATGGACACATTCTCTACACACACTGCATCCACATGTACAACTGTCACTACATGAACATGGACACATTTCACTACACCTGCATCCACATGTACAACTCCTACTACATCAACATGGACACATTTCACTACACCTGCATCCACATGTACAACTCCTACTACATCAACATGGACACATTTCACTACACCTGCATCCACATGTACAACTCCTACTACATCTACATGGACACATTTCTGCACTACACCTGCATCCACATCTACAACTCCCACTACAACTACATCTACATGGACACATTTCACTACACCTGCATCCACATGTACAACTGCTACTACATGAACATGGACACATTTCTACACCTGCATGCACTCCCACTACATTTCACTACACCTGCATCCACATGTACAACTCCTACTACATCAACATGGACACATTTCACTACACCTGCATCCACATGTACAACTCCTACTACATCAACATGGACACATTTCACTACACCTGCATCCACATGTACAACTCCTACTACATCTACATGGACACATTTCACTACACCTGCATCCACATGTACAACTCCTACTACATCTACATGGACACATTTCACTACACCTGCATCCACATGTACAACTCCTACTACATCTACATGGACACATTTCACTACACCTGCATCCACATGTACAACTCCCACTACATCAACATGGACACATTTCACTACACCTGCATCCACATGTACAACTCCTACTACATCTACATGGACACATTTCACTACACCTGCATCCACATGTACAACTCCCACTACATCTACATGGACACATTTCACTACACCTGCATCCACATGTACAACTGCCCACTACATCTACATGGGACACATTTCACTACACCTGCATCCACATGTACAACTCCTACTACATCAACATGGACACATTTCACTACACCTGCATCCACATGTACAACTCCTACTACATCAACATGGACACATTTCACTACACCTGCATCCACATGTACAACTCCTACTACATCAACATGGGACACATTTCACTACACCTGCATCCACATGTACAACTCCTACTACATCAACATGGACACATTTCACTACACCTGCATCCACATGTACAACTCCTACTACATCAACATGGACACATTTCACTACACCTGCATCCACATGTACAACTCCCTACTACATCTACATGGACACATTTCACTACACCTGCATCCACATGTACAACTCCTACTACATCTAACATGGACACATTTCACTACACCTGCATCCACATGTACAACTCCACTACATCAACATGGACACATTTCACTCTACACCTGTATCCACATGTACAACTCCTACTACATCAACATGGACACATTTCACTACACCTGCATCCACATGTACAACTGCCACTACATGAACATGGACACACATATTTCACTACACCTGCATCCACATGTACAACTCCCACTACATCTACATGGACACATTTCACTACACCTGCATCCACATGTACAACTCCCACTACATCTACATGGACACATTTCACTACACCTGCATCCACATGTACAACTCCTACTACATCAACATGGACACATTTCACTACACCTGCATCCACATGTACAACTGCCACTACATGAACATGGACACATTTCACTACACCTGCATCCACATGTACAACTCCTACTACATCAACATGGACACATTTCACTACACCTGCATCCACATGTACAACTCCCACTTACATCTACATGGACACACATTTCACTACACCTGCATCCACATGTACAACTCCTACTACATCTACATGGACACATTTCACTACACCTGCATCCACATGTACAACTCCTACTACATCAACATGGACACATTTCACTACACCTGCATCCACATGTACAACTGTCACTACATGAACATGGACACATTTCACTACACCTGCATCCACATGTACAACTCCTACTACATCAACATGGACACATTTCACTACACCTGCATCCACATGTACAACTGCCACTACATGCTACATGGACACATTTCACTACACCTGCATCCACATGTACAACTCCCACTACATCTACATGGACACATTTCACTACACCTGCATCCACATGTACAACTCCCACTACATCTACATGGACACATTTCACTACACCTGCATCCACATCTACAACTCCCACTACATGAACATGGACACATTTCACTACACCTGCATCCACATGTACAACTGCCACTACATGAACATGGACACATTTCACTACACCTGCATCCACATGTACAACTCCCACTACATCAACATGGACACATTTCACTACACCTGCATCCACATGTACAACTCCTACTACATCTACATGGACACATTTCACTACACCTGCATCCACATGTACAACTCCTACTACATCTACATGGACACATTTCACTACACCTGCATCCACATGTACAACTCCTACTACATCTACATGGACACATTTCACTACACCTGCATCCACATGTACAACTCCCATTACATCTACATGGACACATTTCACTACACCTGCATCCACATGTACAACTCCTACTACATCAACATGGACACATTTCACTACACCTGCATCCACATGTACAACTCCTACTACATCAACATGGACACATTTCACTACACCTGCATCCACATGTACAACTCCTACTACATCTACATGGACAC